GGCCAGGGGGAGGGCGCGCTGGAGGTCGGCGAGGTGCTCGCCGCGGCACTTGGCCTCGTCGTCCTGGTACAGGCCCTGCTCCACGGCACCCCGCAGGCCGATCTCGGAATGCGAGGGGGGAAAAGAAGAAGAAGAAGAAGAGGGGTCCGGGCCCCGGCGGTGGAGCCGGGCGAGGAAGCGCGCCCGGTCGTCCTCGAGCCGCCGCTCGAAGGCGGCGTTGCGGGCGCAGAAGGCGTCCTCCTGGGAGCGAATCGCCCGGGCGACGTTCGCGGCGAGGTTCGTCGCGGCCCGGAAGTACGCGTCCCGCGTCCAGGACTCCTGGCGCCGGTTCATCCCCTGCCGCGTGGTCCAAAGCCCAAGCCCGGGCCGATCACGCGATGGCAATAGTGATAGAACGGGTAAGGCGCCTGGGGCAAAGCGATCCAAATGAGAAAAAGAGATCGCAATAACAGAAGGAACCAATCGAGAGGACTACATGGACCAATCTATGACCGACGTTTGTGGGTATGCGCAGTTTCAATCCTTTGGCTACTTCGATTGTGCGTAGGTGGTGCTCTTATTGTGGATAGAAAAGGAAAGAAGAAAAAGAGATCAATTGATATTTTGCTTCCATCGATGGGGTCGATATTGGACCCTCGACGACAAATCGGTGAGATCGCATCAGCAGTTGAAGAAGCATTCGTTAAGCAATAGCGGAGGGAAACTACCATGTAGATGTCCTTTTTCTACTGTACCGAGCCTCAAGCACGAACGAAAGTTGTTCGAAAAACAAAGTTGCCGATCTTACCCAATCATCATCATCATCATTATCATGATTCGATTGTTGGTATTTAGGTGTAATTCCCAAACATTATCCGTGCCGATCGATTTCGAGCCTGCGCAGTGCTAAAGTCTAAAATGTCGCGCCCTGGCATTCCCAGGGCGCCGGTGGGATCGAACCCCGATTGGGCTAATGGCGAAGATGTAAAATGGACCGACTGCGTTATGGCGTTGACCGCTTCGCGCGCCTCACGGGCCAGCCGGTTTGGGGTTGCCAGTTTGTTCGCTACGGCAGAGGGAGTTTGGGTCTTCGTACTCGTTGAATGGGCCCCCCTCGCGAGCTCGAAGTTCGGCGAAAGGGCCGAAAAAATACGCTCCCGTCGTAGGCTCCAGATCGCTCGCTGCTGCCGTCGAATGATGAGCTCGTATTGGTCCCGTTCCCATGTCGTCAAGGTCGCGATGGGCGACACACGCCGGCCCGTATCACCCGCGGCGGCGTCCGGTTCGTCGCCCCGGCGGTCCTTCAATTTCTGGCGCAGGGACAGACACTCGGCCTGCGTGTTATCCTTAATCGTGCGGAGCTGCTGGAGGGCGACCTCGTAATGCCGAACCACCTCCTTCTCCCGGTCCTTCTGGGTTTGCAAGGCCGCCTCGAGCTCGGCGCGCAGCCCCTCCCCGCGGCGACCCAACACCGCCATCGCCTCCTTTTCCTTTCGCAGCTTGAGCACCAGCAGGCCACTCGCGTCGAGGCGCTGGGTGAGCGCCTGAAGGCGGGAATCCGCCTCGGCATCGAGCGAAGAGCGCG